CATCAACGTCTCATAAATGTTTAGATTACACCAGACACAGTTACAAGCAAACGATGTAAGTGATAATTACACACCTGATTAACATTTATTCCAACCTGATAAATTGAATCTTTCTGTTTATCTTTTCTACGTTTGAGATTTTTAAACCGAACATGTTCAGTGAACGCTGCATCATTTAAATACAGTCATAGGTGATATTACTCACTTTCTGGCTCAGCCCAGTATTCATCCACAAAGAGTTTCTCTGGGAGAAATATTACAATATCATGGTTACCGTGAGAAAAGAAAGTGTAGTAGCTCCACAGCAGACTCGTCCACAGTTTAATGCTTTTCAGCACAATCTTTATTCATACTTACACTCGGTTGCTGTTACAAACACACACGGCTGCAGCTTTTCAGCCGCCACATATCAACAACAACAACAACAACTCTCAGGATCAGGTACAGATTTTAAAGCTGATGCTGGCAAAGTTAGAAAGGTGCCGGCTGTGAACAACACCTCATCCATCTATTACTTCATTTGCTCTCTTTAGGCTCCCCAATGATTGTCTGTCTAGTGTCTGTCGTCCACCTTAAATCCATTCATAACTTATTTAACGTCAGGGTTAATGATCAGAAAACAATTAAGTGTGTAAGGAAAGAATTTAGTCGTTTGTAATCTTAATATTACTGTCTGTGTTTTATTTAACAATATCTATTATTAAACACTTCAGTGAAATAAATCCTCCTCCCTTCTTTCAGGAAGACAAAAAAGCTTCCATTGTTCAGTTTTTGTGACTTGGTTCAAAGATTTTGAATCAACTCTTGATAATTTTTTTATTAGGGATAATTATTCTCTTACCTTTGAGTCCTGAGCTGCTCTCTGACAGCCTCTGCACCAGATCAGTTCTCTGCATGTCCCTGAAAACATCAGTGGTTACCTCCACAGACTGTTGGCCACATGTTTGCACCATCGCGTTCACTATATGTTTTCTGTTTGTACTCGGTGGAAATTGTGGAAGGCCCCTCTGAAAACATGTGAACTGCAGGAACCACATGAACTCCTTGAGACCCTGATCACTCAAATCCTCCCGTGTTTCTAGAAGCAGATCTTTAACAGCTGCCATTGTTGCAAGCTGGAAAATTCAAACATTCATAAAGAAAAATTAAATATTAATGTTTCTGTTGCTGTTTTAAATATTAAAACTAATTGAAGACATTTAAATCATGTTTTCTCTAAAAACTTAAAGATAAAAAAGCCAACATTTATAAAGAAAATATATCATTTACACACTAAGACATTTTTTTGCAATTACATTAGGCATTTCTATGATAATGGATGATTTTTCTGATGATCACCTAAACCACAGATACATTTAGTAACGAGGGCCTGAGCATTCACAGTGTGAAGACCTTGCTGTGTATTCACTATTATTATTATT